CAGGGCAGTGCCACGTCCCATGGTGACATTCCCTGAGCCATGGTGACACTCCTGTCACTGTCCCTGTCCCCAGAGCGGTGGCTGCGCCATGGGCAGGAGGAGCAGGGCAGTGCCACGTCCCACGGTGACATTCCCTGAGCCACGGTGACACTCCTGTCACTGTCCCTGTCCCTGTCCCCAGAGCGGTGGCTGCGCTATGGGCAGGAGGAGCCGCCGGGCCGCCGACAGCTCGTCCTCGGGGGAGGAGGAGGAGTATGTGGTGGAGAAGGTGCTGGACCGGCGCGTGGTGAGGGGCCAGGCCGAGTACCTGCTCAAGTGGAAGGGCTTCTCCGAGTGAGTGACGGGGACAGCAGGGACACAGCAGGGACAGGGGACACAACACCCTGGGTGTCCCCTGACCGTGTCCCCTCTGTGTCCCTGGGTGTCCCCGGGTATCCCCTGTCCCCTGACCATGTCCCCTTGGTGTCCCCTGTACCCTGGGTGTCGCTGGGTATCCCCTGGGTGTCCCCTGTCCCCTGACCGTGTCCCTGGGTGTCCCCTGACCATGTCCCCTGTCCCCTGCCATGTCCCCTGACAGTGTCCCCTGTCCCCTGCCATGTCCCCCGTGCCCTGACGGTGTCCCTGGGTATCCTTGGGTGTCCCCTGCCGTGTCCCCTGTCCCCAGACTGTGTCCCTGGGTGTCCCCTGACCCTGTCCCCTGTCCCCTGCTGTGTCCCCTGACGGTGTCCCTGGGTGTCCCCTGCCATGTCCCCTGACCATGTCCCCTGTCCCCTGGGTGTCCCCAGGGAGCACAACACGTGGGAGCCCGAGAAGAACCTGGACTGCCCCGAGCTGATCTCGCAGTTCCTGCGCAAGGACCGCAGGATGAGGGACATGAGGGACATGAGGGACAGCGAGGGGACGCGGCCCCGGGAGCGCCCCGAGGGCGCCAAGCGCAAGGGGCTGCCCGGCAGCGAGGACGGCAGGGCCAAGAAGAAGAGAGAGGTGAGACACGGGACACCGGGGACACCGGGGACAGCTGGGAACAGGAGGGGATGGGGACATGGGGATGGGGACAGCGACACTGGGAGGGGATACAAGGATGGGGACAAAGACATCGGGAGGAGATGGGGACACCAAGAGGGGATGGGGACACCGGGATGGGGACGGGGACACCAGGAGGGGATGGGGACAGGGACACCGGGAGGGGACAGGGACACCAGGATGGGGATGGGGACACCAGGATGGGGACAGGGACACCAG